GGAGTTTTGCTCGTTACCCAGGCTGGAGTGCAATGGCGCGATCTCGGCTCACCGCAACCTCCGCCTCCTGGGTTCAGGCAATTCTCCTGCCTCAGCTTCCTGAGTAGCTGGGATTACAGGCACGTGCCACCATGCCCAGCTAATGTTTTGTATTTTTAGTAGAGATGGGGTTTCACCATGTTGACTAGGATGGTCTCGATCTCTTGACCTCGTGATCCACCTGCCTCGGCCTCCCAAAGTGCTGGGATTACAGGCTTGAGCCACTGCGCCCGGCCAGGACTGCCATCTTATAGTGATTTAGGCACCGTCATCTTAGAATAAAAACCCTAAAACATGTAGTTCTCAGAACTGTTATTGTAAGTCTCAAAAATGTTGTTTTGTATAGTTAAAAATTTTCCAGTATTGCCCCTTGCAACAAACCGCTGACCTTGGCTTCTGTACAATCTGCTTGCTTGCATAGTCCCCATAAGGATGTAGTTTTGCAGCTTAAATACCTTGCTCCCACTAAGTATGGGGCCACGGGTTGGAGAGACATAAGTCCTCCGTGGCCGCCGGCAATTAAAACCCTGCAATTGGGCATACTTTTATCTTGATGCTGATTTTCTTTGCTCGCTCTAATACAACATTTGGAGACCCGAGCGAGATTTTTCATCCATCACCAGACAAAAACCCTCTCAGAGTCTCACCCGGGCGGCTGCTCCAGCCTTGGGAATCTCTGGGGGAGGCACCCCCTAAAACATTCCAGGGCCCCAAAGTTTTGGCCCATGGCAGAAGGGTGACTACTCGGCCAACATTCACCCAAAATTCATCAGGGTCTCAGGAACCTCCGGAGGTAAGTCAGGTCTGGAAATTGGGGAACTGGTCCATCAAAAGCCTAGGTCAGGAGACCAAACACAGTCATTAATCTCTAACTAGACAAGCCTACCGTAAAACGTCACTGGAGGCTTGGGTAATTCAGTTTTCGGTTGTGTTCCATAACCTCTGTGTAAGTGTGAAAGTACAAGTGTATACGTGTAGTCCCATGGCCAGCAGGCTACAGGGCTTGTGAGGGCCTTCACCTGTGGTTCCATGGGGACATCATAAGACATAACGGTAATTCACCCTTTCAGTAACCAGGCCCGGGGTTTATATGAGTACACCTTAGCCAAAACACTCTAAAACATCCCTCTGGGAATGTGGCTGGACCAGCATCAAACTAGTCTCCCTTGGGGGACACCCACCCTGTGTCCGTCTATCTCTCATGTGGTTCTGTCTTTATTCTAAGTCCTCTAGTTTCCTAAAGCAGTTACTAGCTAATATACAGTGGTTTAGACCTATTACTCTTAAAGTAAATAATATTCTCCATTGGCTACATAACCATTAACTTCAAAAAACTCTAATTAAGTTTACATCCCTAAAAATAACTCTGTTCTCTTTCCTTTTCTTCTTCTTCTTCTATCATGAAGGCCTCATTCTTCCTCTTTTTCATGTCCAAGAGAAAATTCTGCCCCTGACAACTTGGGTGTAGTTTTTGTCTCTGTCTTAAGGAATCAAACCTTAAATAAAAAACTACCAGCCCTCTTTGTCCGTTTAAGGTAAAAAAAAAAAAAAAAAAGAAAGTAATTGTCTCTTTTGTCGAAAAAAAGATTCGGTGTTATTATGGGCGTTGCCCAAGTGCTCACCACAGGTCAGCAAGTTAACATCATCCCGACCATTAAAAAGTTGGCTGCCAAGGTTTAATAAAGACTGATTAACAAAACCTTTACGCTCTCTTAAAAACGTAGTGAATTCAAAATTCACACCCAGTAAACCTCTTGGTTCACCCATTCTGCCATTTCCCAACATTCCCTAGGCCTCTAAATGCCAAAACATATCTAAAAAAGGACCATTCCCAAGCGGCATTAAATCTTTACAAAACTTACTACTGCCCTTTGTGGCATAGCACTGGAAAACCATACACGTTCCCCTGGTCCCTTCCACCTGCTCGCCTGGCCCAAACCAAAAACAGGCCCATCAACCTAGCTGTCTCCTCTTTACAAAATTTAGCTACAAAAACATTACTAAAACCAATACTAAAACAAACAAAATTTAAATTCAAAACTTACCAAAATTGACTACATCACAAAAACAAAAAAACCCGGGTAGTCACCAAAAGGCCCCGAAAAAAACAGCACAAATAGGATCATCAAACTCCCGGCCCTGCACCCCCTCCAGTACATAACAATAAATTTCAAAACAAAGTTTTCTAACCAGTACAAAGTTAACCCCGGGAAAACTTCATACCCTCTATAAACTAAAATAGCCACCATTTGGGGTGGGATGGCCAGACACCGGGACACATAACCCCAAAATAACCCAAACTACATAAAATATAGTAACAAACTCCCCAGGCCACCCCGAAAAAAACTAAGTCCTCCATGGCCACCAATAAAAACCCTACAATTTGGCATACTTTTATCTTAATGTTAATTTTATTTACTCACTCTAATACAACACCATCTCTACTAAAAATAACACAATTAGCCGGGCGAGGTGGCGTGCACCTGTAGTCCCAGCTACTCTGGAGGCTACTGCAGAAGAATCACTTGAACCCAGGAGGCGGAGGTTGCAGTGAGCCAAAATCGCTCCATTGCACTCCAACCTGGGCGACAGAGTGAGACTCCGTCTCAAAAAAAAAAAAAAAGGACCACAAAAACTGGGTGGCTTGGAACAACCGAAATTTATTGTCTCACAGTTCTGGAGGCCAGACGTGCGAAATGAAGTGTGGCAGAGCATGCTCCCTCTAAAGGGACTGGGGAGGGATCAGCTGCAGCCTTCCCTCCTAGCTTCTGGTTGTTCCTTGCCTTCTGGCTGCATCGCTCTAGTCTTCATTTGGTGTTCTCCCTGCATGCATGGCTTTGTGTCCAAATTTTCTTTCTTCATGAGACCATTAGTCATACTGGATTAGGAGTGCGCCCTACTGCAAGAAGACACCTCCCCAAATTACATCAGCAACAACCCTATTTCCAAAGAAGGCCACATTCTGAGAGGTGTGGGGGGGTTATGACTTCAACAGCATTTTTTTGTGGGGAAAACAATTCAACTCCTAACACACCCCTATTTCTTTAAATTATTTATTTAGCAAAAGTGTATTTATTTTATATATTCATATACTAGTATGTGACATGGCTCTAATAGGTCTATAACTGTGCTGGGTACTGTAGGAAACTAAATCCAAACAACGAATGTGACAGATGCTTCTTGGTCTACCCAGCCTCTGTGGGCTCCCTCAAATCCACCAAAGCTCTATGGCTCCAGTGGATTATCTAGCAGTTAGAAAACCAGGATCATTGAATTTACCGCAATTACAGTGAGACTGACTACCTTAGCTTACTTCTGTGGGAGGAGTTAAGACAAGGGAATCTGGGGCCGAGCGCGGTGGCTCAAGCCTGTAATCCCAGCACTTTGGGAGGCCGAGGCAGGTGGATCACGAGGTCAAGAGATCGAGACCATCCTGGTCAACACGGTGAAACCCCATCTCTACTAAAAATACAAAAAATTAGCTGGGCTACTCAGGAGGCTGAGGCAGGAGAATTGCCTGGAGGCAGGAGAATTGCCTGAATCCAGGAGGCGGAGGTTGCGGTGAGCCGAGATTGCGCCATTGCACTCCAGCCTGGGTAACAAGAACGAAACTCCGTCCCAGAAAAAAAAAAAAAAAGGACAAGGGAATCTGTAGAATTTTGGAGGTTTGGGGGCATTCGGGGGCGGGGGCAGATGTTCTTCCTTTAAATCGCAACGCTTAGTACTCTTCCACTTATAAGACTCACACCTCCATCCAACCCCTGCACCACAGGACAAGCAAGTGTTCTTGGCCTTCAACTTTCATTCCGATGGTGAAAGCAGGTGCTCCTGATCTATTTGCCCACCAGCTTCTGCTGTGGAGCCTGAGGCTTCTGATGTCTGCCTGGCTGGTTCTTAGTAAGAAGGTCAAGTTCAACCACTGGAGAGATGCCAATGCCCTTCAGTAGTTCAATATGAGTTCAGAGCCTGGGGTCTGCATGTAAGATTTGGGGTTCCCTAGATATAAGATTTCTGAAAACACTCAGACTGTGGGGACCCCTGCTGAGGGAGAGGCCCCAAACTGTGGCTCCAGGGGAATGCACCAAGGCTCTCACTGAGGCCGCCTTCTCCAGCCAGCTCCCCTCCTGCTTCCCCATGGCTGGCATGGCTGAGTAAAAACGACACTGAGCACAGCCCACGCGTGAGCAGCTTGCCATGCAGCAGGATAAACCCATCACGCCACTCAGCGTGCCTTTGTTGTAAATCTAGTATGATTACAACACTAATCTCTGGCCATTTGCTCTGTTTCTGGTTTGTGAACCAACTGAAGACATGAGCAGGCCTCAGCTAACCCACATATAGCACATGTGCAAACTGGAAAAATGA